TGAAAGGCTTGGGTAATCTCTTGAAAAGGGAGATTGTTTCATTGTTCTTTCTAACCAAAGAGTTCCTTAATTTTAATATTCAGGACAATGACAACTAAAATTTCCGAAGGGAAGAAGCATGGTAGGATAATTTTAGTTTGTTGGTTGGCAGGACTGTCCTGCAAACTAACACCTTTCAAAACCTAGGAGAAAAAGTTTTAAATCATGGTATTGACGTTGGAAGTCAGAAAAAATGTTTTATCTTAAGTCATATCCTCAAAGTGCAGATTATTGAATACATTTAGAAGGTTGTAGTGGTGTAGTATGATGCCATTTGTAATCTGCAGTGAGTGGATATAACGCGGATAAAAGTAATTTCGTGCATTTTGTAAATTCTGTTCGATGACACTGTACCAATTTTAGGAACAGTACGAGATTCAATGGGGACATTGACCGGGCTGTCCGGGGAGTATGTGACATTCGACCAGAATGGTCAAAACTGCAGATTGGATGGATTCTAAATTTTAGCAGCTAACCTTCCGAATTGACTGTTTTAAGAGATTAACAACGTTACTGGGACTATCAGTGAAACGGCAAAAGTCAAGATATTCTGGTATTTTGAAATTTTAAAAATTCGAAGTTTTGACGTAAAAATTCTGAGAAGCGTCAAAAACGGCCATTTTGGAAGAAAACCAGAATAAAATCAGAACAACAATAGTTGCGATAGCGATAACTACGAGAATTGTGATTGAAAAACAACAACGAATTGCAGAGTTAGAAGAGACCGCTCCGAGATGCAACTATTGTGTCGCTACAAAAGTTGCAAGGCCGTTCACAACAACGGTGAAGGGTAGAAGACAGCCTTCCGGAAGGAAGATAAGGACGTTATTTCCCCCGATTCAGGAATCCCGAGGGGTCTCGGGAGTTGAACTGAAACTCTTTTATATAGACTTTTAGCTTCCCGGTTATGTCTTGAAATGAATTTATTTAACATCTGAATTCCTTTTACGACAATGAGAAGCTAGGAGTTCGGGGAAAGGGTTGATACATCTTCAATGGAGATGATGATTTTTATCTACTGTACAAAAACAATAGTAATATAAGAAGTAGTAGTAGCCTTGTTTTTAGGAGTGACCTCGTGGTCTGGGGATACTGAGACCCAGCCATGAGCTCACTAATTTTGCATGTAATTAAGTTAATTTGATTGTTTTGACCGAAGCCGAGAACAGTAACGTTTTTGTCGACCCGATGTTAGAAAGACCACAAAAAGAACCTGCTTTGGTAGAGACGGTGAAAAGCATGAAGAGCTTAGTTTAGACGCTGGCCTGTCGTTTTATAGCTAATTTTTATTTTCCGTCGATATGTACTTCCGGGTGAATGTTACAACCGTCAACAAACTAGCAGAGGAACTAAGCGAAAAATGGAACGAAACACACTCGGGCATAATAAAACTTTTAAAGAACAAAAATAGGTTTTGAATTTCTGAAGAGTGTAAACTTCTGCCTCAGGGGGTGCAAATACTTAAAAGTACATCCAACATAGACAATTCCTTTTGTTTGAAAATGCGTTAAAATTGCAATTTCAAAAAAAAAACGTTTTAGCACATTTTTGTTCATCTTCAGGTTTTAAAAAACTAAACTATCTGAACAAAATGATCAAAGAAGACATCATTATTTCAAAATTCATAACATTTAGCTAATCACAACTTCACAATCAATACTAAAATCATGTAACAACTATTACGTATCAGTTTTTTTCATTTAGTCAAATATTTCTGAGAGTTTTCACCCTTCTTGTTTATACAATTTTTTTTTTGCCGCAAAACTTAAGCTAACATGTAAGTTATTACAATATTTTTTTCGTTTTTGCCAGAATTTCTCAATTCTGGAATTATAGCCTCAGTGTCAGCTCCCTACTTCTAAACTCGTCGCGTGTGTTTAATTGCGATTATCTTCCAATTAAACTCCGACTTACCACCATCACTACCACACTGCTTTTAGACATGTACGTTTTGAATAAAAAACCAAAAACATTTTGGGACTAAATTTTCAGTGTTAACTCCCTGCTCCTAAACTCATCGCGCGTGTTCAAGCCCGGTTTCTCTTTCCTGATATGTATTGCCTCTAGTGTTAGCAATTTTGTTTGGTTGTTTGACCTATCTATAATTTCCCAACTAAGATCTGCGCTATTTCCCTCAAGTTGGCATTGCTGAAGGTGGAGGCCTACCGGTGAGTCTGCTTTCTTATGTTCCTCAATTCTAGTGGTCAAATGTCGAACAGTTTGTCCGACATAGGTGGAAGTGCATCCACTACATGACAGTTTATAAACCACTCTTGACTTGAGGTCATTAGAAAATGCTGACTTTCTAATGCGGAAAAATATCCGATGACGTATACGCATCAATAACCGAGATAGTCTGGTACTGTGAAAGCTGCTGCCGAGCTAAGAACAAGGAGAAGGATACTCCCCAGGTGAAATTGTTCCTCAGGTATGTGGATGACATAGTTAGAACAGTCAGAGGGGAGCCGAGTTGTCTTCTCGATGCCGCCAATTCTCTTCATCCAAATTTGCAGTTCACTCTAGAGAAAACTAATTTGGAGGGGAATTTGCCGTTCCTGGATTTGAACATAAATGTATCGCAGGATAGGCGTGTAACTTGCAGTTGGTATCAAAAACCAACAGATACAGGGACTATACTGATATATAGAAGCTGCGCCCCAACTCAGTATAAGCGTAGTGTTATCCAAGGCACTGTACACAGGGTTTTTAGGAGTACATCTAGCTGGGGGCAATTTGATAAGGCTATGGAAACTAATAGGGCGCAATGGCTGACAAATCAGTACCCTGAAAATTGGTCCGCAAAGGTGGCTTCAGACGCCTTGTGCAAGATCATCGAGGGTAAAGGCAAGCCCCTGGATAGTGACAGGGGTTTGTCAGTTCAATCACCAAAGGATGAGAAGCCCCCAATGCTGATGGTGCAATATAGAGGTAACCAGAGCCAATATTTTGCTAACAGGTTACGAAAATTAACGAATGTTCAAGTGGTTTTCACCACAAGAAAACTACAATCATCTTTACCATCACTGAAGTCAGCATTTTCTAATGACCTCAAGTCAAAAGTGGTTTATAAACTGTCATGTAGTGGATGCACTTCCACCTATGTCGGACAAACTGTTCGACATTTGACCACCAGAATTGAGGAACATAAGAAAGCAGACTCACCGGTAGGCCTCCACCTTCAGCAATGCCAACTTGAGGGAAATAGCGCAGATCTTAGTTGGGAAATTATAGATAGGTCAAACAACCAAACAAAATTGCTAACACTAGAGGCAATACATATCAGGAAAGAGAAACCGGGCTTGAACACGCGCGATGAGTTTAGGAGCAGGGAGTTAACACTGAAAATTTAGTCCCAAAATGTTTTTGGTTTTTTATTCAAAACGTACATGTCTAAATCGAAATTATGACTCAGAAACTTCCAGACAAATTAATTTCAAAATGTTTAATTAATTTTAGAGGTTAAAAGTATTTTAATCTTAATATTAATTTAGAGGTCAACTGTGATTGGCTAATTTTTTATCATGATGGTTTAGAACCAAATTGTACGTCATTTATTGTAAATAACATTTGTAAATTGATGTTTTATCGTCATTTAGAGTAGTTTATTGTAAAAATCCTGACGATGCACATAGTTGCGAAAACGTTTGAAATTTACTTTTTAGCAAAAATTTCTACACTGCTTTTATGCTGTCCAACTGGGGTATTCTCTTTTCGGTGTTTCTCAATCAGTGTGGTGAGATTGTACACCACTTCTGATTGCAGTTCACTGGAACAGGAGGATTTTGAAGAGGGCATACAAGTTTTCATTTTTTGCTCGCCATGAATTTATCTGCGCATTGGTGTTATTGCGCACTTCTTTTTGCTAGTGTCCGAGTGTGATTCTCCCGATATTGAACCATCAAAATGGGTGGTGAATCGCTGCTATAATCACAGGGCTTCTTTCATCTTTTTTCAGTTATCTTCTTTGCCCTACCTTATGATCTGTTCAAGGGCTTGCGATGCAACCCGCGACGACCATTTTTCCGGATATTGGTTATCTAATCGCTGTTGACGGGTGATTTCCATCGCTTTATCACATTCTTCCCATATTGACGTACTGCGGAAAATCAAGTGAACAGTTCCTTCAATCACACTTCTCTTGTACTGAAGGAAGGCACAACTTCTCAAATTTAGTACGGTAGCTGTATCTGTTGGTTTCGCATACCACCCACAGTTCGGTGGAATCGCGATTACAGACAATTCCATCTGTGCTATAATCGCGGAGGGTTGATTTTAAGTGAATTCTCTGGATGCTTTAAAATCGACTTGATTTATTCATAAACTTTGCCGATGTATTTATATCCAACCTGTGCACGGACCGTCGCATGACGGAACTGACCAATTTAATTGACCACCTCTTAGTAAATTGTTTAAGCCATTGTCACTTGATTCATATAGCCTATTGGCCATTTCAGTCCCTCTTACACAAATATAGAAAAAAAGGAAAAGTTTGCAAAATTTTGTTGCAAAAATAAGTCTGTCGGAACATTCTGTGCTGCTTGGCAGCAACTAACTATATCCGTTTGGTTTTGTTTTAGTTTGCAGGCATTATATTTTAGTTTGTTTTCTGTTTTACGGCCTAATCGTCAAACTTGTCAATTAAGTTTGTTTTTATTGAAAACGCTGAGATTCGAGCATCATCATCAAACTTTCATTGTAGCAAAAAGAATAATTTTTGGGCCATATAACAGAAAAGACCCTATTTTTTTCTGGCATTTAGAGCATCGGATGTGGCGCGTAGTCAGTTTTGCATCTTACATTATTTAAATTTTTGCAGCCATACTAATATCATCAAATTTGTCCGATTTCAATAATTGGGACCCAAGTCCCGGGTTTTTTATGCCGAATTCAAAATAACAATTGTAATAATAATAGCTTAACCATGTTCTTCAATTCTGTTTTATGATAATTGCTTCAGACTGTAATGAAATCGACTACTTCTGTAGTTTTGCAGATCAATAGTATATTTCACTCGAGTAAAGCTATCCGTTAGTAGCTTGCGACCATGTTTGTTGTTCTACTCCATCTGATGTTCGTTTCGGTGGGTACGCTGTACGTGGAAGACAACGATAAATGCCTCGAAGGTTTATACTTCAACAAAGAATTGGGCATCTGTGATTATTGCTTAAAATGTCCGAAGGGATACGAAGCAGATCAGGTAAGCTTAACTCAAAAGTCATGATTTAATAGTTTTTTTGCGACTAGAATAAAACCGATTTCATTGGATTTTTATTGTGGGCAGGAGGCCTCGGTTCAAGTCATGTTTTTTGAATTTTTGCATCAGGTCTAAATGTATATTTTTGTATGAAATGTATTTGGCAGATGATTAGAGTTTTAAGCTTCCTTTTAGAGTTTAATTATGGTCTTTTTGAAATTTATCGATACGTTTTTTGATACATAAGGATCAGTTTGACTCACTTTGATTGGTGAAGTGGTAGATTTTTCGAGTGAATCAAGTTACAAAGTTTTTGAGAAAGTAATATAGAATCCGTTTTTCCGTTGCGAGAGCACATGCTTGTAATTGATAATCGGGGGCTTTTTTCTTAATAACTTCTAACGCCTGTGATTAACAGGCGTTATCAAATCGAAACTTAATTTTTTTTGGGTCAGCAACTTGCTTAACATAATCACTAAATATTTGATAGCTTGGTTTGGTAACATTTACGCCTGGGGCAGTTCAGGACCTGTTTTTAAATGGGAAAAAGCGTTTGTCTGCTTGTTTTGTCGGCTTACCTGTGCTTCCTATGCTTTAAGTGATTTTCATTGTTATTGAAATCTATCTATTATATATTTAAATGCGGATTTCACTATCTCGCCATGTTTAAGCTTTTTCAACGTATTATTTTTTTGCATGTTTGACGAAAGAATTTTTGCACGTTTAAGCTATATCGTATATTGCAATGGTTAAGATTTTTTTTCGATTTTCCAGTTTGAATTCAGTGGCTATTCCACCGAGTTTTAAAAAAGCAGCTTAATAGCGGGACGCTGTCAGGATTCCCTAAGGGGTTGCGAATTGGCCTCCAATTAAGAATGCTCAAATGCGACGATTTTTGTGATTTTTTCAAAAATTTTCAGAAAACGCAAATTACAAAAAATTAACAAAACTTGAAATCCCCAACCCTGTAGTTGGGTGCTGTCAGAGTACTCCATGGATTGCGAATCTTGCCTCCAATTATGACTGCTCAAATCCTTGTAATTTTCGAGATATGCCGTTTTTTTGTGATTTTTTCAAAAATGTTCAGGAAAATTAAACGAAATTTTTTTCTTCAAAATGTTAAATTCTCAACCCTTTAGTTGGGGGCTATCAGAGTACTCTCAGGGTTGCGAACCTTACCTCCAACTATGACTGCTGAAATCCTTGTAGTTTTCGAGATATGACGTTTTTTGTGATTTTTTCAAAAAAAATTCAGGAATGTTAAACGAAATTTTTTTCTTCAAAATTTCAAATTCTCAACCATGTAGTTAGAGTTGAGGGCTATCAGAGTATTCTCAGGGGTTGCGAATCTTGCCTCTAATTATGACTGCTTAAATCGTTGTATTTTTCGAGATATGACGTTATTTGTGATTTTTTCAAAAATTTTCAGAAAATTTAAAAAGTGTATTTTTTTTAAAATCTGAAATTACCAACCCTGTTGTTGGGTCTTGTCAGGTACTTTCAAGGATTGCAAATCTTACCTCCATATCACTGCTCAAATCCTTGTAGTTTTCGAGATATGACTTTTTTGTGGTTTTTTTTAAAAAAAATACAGAAAATTAAAATACTTGTTCTTTCCATATTTTGAAATTCTTAACTTTGTAATTGAGTGTTGTCAGGGTAATCGCAGGAGTTAAAAACCTCCCCTCATGCGACTGCTCAAATGCGACTGTTCAAATGCTTTTAGTTTCAGAGATGTGACGTTTATTTGATTTTTTCAAAATTTCTCAAAGATTTTATCTACAAATAAATTCACAAAATTTGAAGCTGCTAACTCGATGAAGACACAACTTTATTGTCAGCGTAAACCTAGGCGTCTCAAATTCTCTTAATGAATGCTCAAATTCTTTTAGTTTCCGAAATGAAATGTTTTTTTATGATTTTTTCCATTTTTTTCGGGAAACTTAGGTTTAAAAAAATTCACGAAATTTGAAATTCCCAACCCTATAGTAGGGTCCTCTCAAGGACTCTCAGTGGTTTCAAAATTGGCCGCCAAACTTCCCCAGAGGTCCATTAAGTTATCGAGATGACGCTTTTATGGCTTTTCAAAATGGGAATTAAAATAAAATAAAAAGTTTGAAATTACCAACCCTTCAGTTGGGTGCAGTCAGAGCACCAAAAGTTTGCAGATTCTGTTTCCAATATATGCGGTTTTTCATGAATTGTCGAAAATTTTCGAAGCACCGGAGGTGAGTTAAATGCTAGTTGTTTTAAAGAGTAATGAACGTAGTGAAGACTCTTATATAGGTCGTGCTGATTTTTTTTGTTTTTTTTTTCAGGGAAAAGTCTTAAAATATTGATGCACTTAGGTATATATGCCTTTTTGAGCTCAATTGAAATTCATCTGCTGAAAGTGACGTAAATAGCACTCTCCAAATTTAAAGGTGCAAATCGCCCAAAAATTTGTGAACGATTTCTAGTTTCGAAAGTGGAATTTAATTTTTAGATTTCCAGCGGAATAAAAACTTACCTGTTGATCCAGTTTTCTCAAGTTGGGTTAATGTTATCAAAAAAGCGCCAATCATAAATCGTTCTAGAAATTCAAAGAGCTTAAATGGCATCTATTTTTTGAAATTCGAAAGTTGAGACTTTTTCAACAGTCAGTGTTTTTTTTATGTTTACTTGCGTTCATTACTCTTTTCCTATCTTCGATTGGCTATGTTTCGATTTATTCCTGTAATTAGTAATTGTACTAAGCCTGATGTTTGTAGCATTCTCTTGTTTCGCCTGAAAAGTTTATCTGCCTCAAATATTTCGGCTTATGTTTTTACGGCTAAGCGACCTAATTATCTAATTATGCGTAGTTTGACGGGAAGAACAGTAGAGTGAGGCCTGACATTTTAGATTTCAGAACTTTCAAAAAAAATTTCAGGACATCAGTTTTGTTTTCGGATCAACGGAAATTACCTTACTTTCTTTCGTCCTAGTTTCCGCTCGATAGAAATTTCTGAATACTTAACGTTGGCCATTGTGCTTCTGGATATGTTTTTGTCAGATTAAACCTCATTGTCAAAATTTTGGAATTTTTGTAGTTGTGGTTTTATCAAATTAGTGGTTTTCTTTTCGTTTTCTGTATGCTAGGTTGCAATGCTATATTGTGTGGTATCACAAGTGGTGCGAATCTCAGCTTCGCCTCTGTGTACAAAACTAAGAAATTGCATTTGCTCTCGTACTGAACCTCAACGCCTTCGAAGCCCTAGTGGCAACGAGCGTGCGTTGGGATCCTTCTAGTGGGCTTTAGCATGTCTATTTTTGGATTAATGAATTTATTCTGTTAAGTTCTGAATAGTCGGTCTATCTTTTTCTGCTGCATTTTTCAGCTTTCTAATGTATTATTCTTCATACTGTTTTGAGCAGTTTCTTTGATTTGATGTATAGAAAATTCTGATTTGAATAATTTTTAATAGAATTGATTTTTACTCTTACTTGTAAGCTTAGGAACTCAGACTCTCCTTATGTTCCTCTTTTCGTTTTTGACGATTATATTTTTGACTTGCCGGAGTCACTCGAAAATTTGCTGGCATACATCCAGATCTATTTTTTCTTCAATTGTTTTGGGTCTAAAAGATGCGCTGGCTGTTGTGTTCAAACAGTACTCATATGATTTTTTTTGCTGATAGGTTTTCTGATATACCAATTTTTTGCAAGATTTTTGTTTTCGATTTTTTATATGCAGCATTTGCTGGATAAGTTCTGAATCTCCAAAGGGCTCAAGAAATGTGTTATGTTTTTAAAGAAGTTAAAATTATTATTGTCAACTTTTTTCGGTTACTTATGTAACAGCCATTCATAATTCATATGATAATTTTATTACATTAGGGAGCTTGTGAGCCTAGTGTATGATTATGAACCTTCATTTTTCCAACATAACTCGCAAATAAAAGTGCTCATTTGGTGGCACTTGCTGTAATCACGATCTGTAGCATTGGAAACTTCATAGCATCGTGTAAGCTTTATATGTGGCTAATGTTTGCTGATTGTTAAGACGAACGCATAACAATCAGCAAACATTAGTCACATATAAAGCAGAAAAGATGCTATGAAATTTCTAATGCTACAGATCGTGATTATAGCAAAAGTGCCACCAAATGAGCACTTTTGTTTCCGAGCTGGGTTGGAAAAAAGAAGCTTCATACCAATACATTACGCTCGCAGGCTTCAATACACTACGCTCACAGGCTGAGAGGTTAGGGCGGGAATTTTTTCGAAAGATTCGAGGCCCACCATAATCCGTGCTCGTCGCTTGAGGGTAAGGCAACACTACCCAGCCCTGAAATTTAGGCAAAAAGCATGTAGTTCTTAAGCTGGGTACAACAGCAGCTCTCCGTGATTAACTGAACAGCTCTTCTGTTAGTCTTTTTTTTGTAGATAAATCGTCTTAGATCTTAAGTGTTTATTTATGCTTTCAAGAAAATTAATTCTAAAAGCTCACCGAAACGAAACTTGGTTACTTGTTACGCTTGCGATTAGCAAGCGTTTATCAAATCGGAATCTAGACTTTTCTTACAACTAGTTTAACTGAATCAGTTGAATTTTTTATGATACTGCTGACATACTCAATTTCATGGAAATTCAAATTTAACTACCGGGGAGTAGTTTCTACTCATGCTATATCTAGAACTCAAACCATTGTATGTATAATTATAGAGTTTTGATATTAATTTACTACTAGCGGCTTTTCGGCTTTATGGTTGTCGACTTAAGCTCTGTCGGTTTAGTTTCCAAATGATGTAGTCTACTTTGCATACGCTTCTTATATAGCTATCGTGGATATTATGTGAGCGCTACATGAATATTTTTGTTTTTTTTTTAACCAAAATTTTTCTCAAGGCTGAGGTTCAATTGGATGTCGGCTTCACATCTGTACGGTTATGTACCAATTTTTCCCTTAAAATATCAGGAGTACTTTTGAGATCAATAAAACTCTGGCACCAATATTTTGAATGCTCAAATTCGACCCCTCTAGGACCTCTTAAAAAACTTTTTAAAAAAATTACGCACGAAAAAACCATTTTAAAAATAATTCTCGTTTTTGCACTTCCTTCTTCAATTGATACGTAGTTCAAAGTTCAGTTTCCTAATTCTTTAGCGTCACGGTGCACTAATCCTGCAATTTTTGTAACACAAGTGGTGCGAAGCTCAGTTCCGCCTCTGTTTTGAAATAAATCTACTTTTTGCTGCTACCAAGATAAGAACGAAAATCCGCCGACAAAAATTGGTTTCGTTTTAGCCTTGTACTCAACACTTTACAAGTACTCAGTGCGTCACTTGTCCCGTTGGATTTTACTCTGACGAAGACGATAGCTATCAACAATGTCGTGAACAGAAGTCTTGCGCTGATAAACACAGAACGCTGCATGCAGTTGGAAATTCTATCACGGACAATGTGTGCGGAGCCTGTCTTGCTGGGTAAGCCTAACTGGGCATAGTTAGCATTCAAAATCCGAGAATTAAATGCGCACGTCCAATAGCGCAATCGACAAATTTCACATTGAATTAATTTGCAAAAAAAAATAGGAAATTCAATTTTTCTTTGGCCTATGGGTTTGGCGTGTATTGCAGTTCCTCGAAATATTTCTTATGCCGTCCTTACGAAAGCTAATGAGGGGAAGGGGGTTTGAATTTGTAGCTGATTCATGGCATTATTGCCCTCAAGCAAAGTACCTTTTGCGCGATTTGTATTTGCAAGATATATGTTCAAGGTACACTGAGATCAGTGCGTTTGGAGACAAGCCATTCTGCTGGGTGTGTGGGAGTGTGGACGACCCTCCCCCGGAGTGCCAGGGATATCTTGACGAAGACAAGTCAGAGGCGGGTGGAGCAGAGTCCTCGAGTAGTACTACTGCACTGCCGGAAGAGGGCGGCAAGGAAGACAATGCAGACGCCAGAGAAGGCAAACCATCGGACAATAATAGTAAGAATTGTACAGGTTTAAAAAGCCACGGCATTAAAAAGTGATTCACATGGTTCAATAAAAATTAAATAAAAGTTAGCCCCTTTTTTCTTAGTTGTTTCTGAAGATAATGGGAAAACTAACTCCAGGTGTTAAGTTTTATTGAACCATGTGAATTACTCTTAATGCCGTGGTCTTTTTTTTTCGTGAAAAAGTCGGAAACCTAGTTCACACTCATTTTTATACATTGTGGTTTTTAAAATTTACTGCAAGCTTACTGCATTTACGTCAAAGGGGTCATTCATTATGGAGAAACGAGTTTAGAAAATGGTAGCCAAATTTACTGCATTTACGTCAAAGGAGTCATTCATTATGGAGAAAAGAGGTTAGGAAATGGTAACCAATGGCCTAACGTGTGCATTTAGCTTGTTTCCATGAAATTCTTTAAATCAGTTTGTTTCCTTGAGAGTCTTTTAAATGGATAAAAAAACATAACTATTGTCGTTAAAAATTGTTTTTTGGTATCCTCAAGAATAAAACGTCGACGAATTTGTTTTAAGGAATAACGGATAACGTTTGACTTTCGATAAAGTTTGACTCTTGTAAGGCTTTAAGAGTCGGTGAACGTAATGAAGACTAAATATATCGTTATGATTTCTTCCAGGATTTTCGCGGTTTGACTATCGAACAGCAAAAGTGTTACCGTCACGGAAAGTATGGACGACTTCTAATTTCGAACATGGGTTTTGATTCTTAGATTTCACAGCAGAATAAAAAATAAGGTATTGATCCAGTTTTCTCAAATTTGGTAAATTATATCAAAAAAGTGCTAATCAAAAGTTTTTCTTGAAATTCAAAGAACTTAAAGAGAATATTTTTTTCTCGGAAATTTAAACGTTAAAAAAACTCCCACAGCACGCAATTTTCTTGGAGGTTCAGTTATTTTAGAATACCTTATCTAGCATTTGCAATGGTTCGTTTTTGTTTTAAAATAAAGGTTTTTTCGGCTAAAATGGTTTTTTCTTTTCTTCTGTTGGTTAGTTTTTTTTCATATTTCTTCGCTAAAGAGCGAAAATAGATTTTCATGCGTTTTTGCACTTCTGTGTTAAATTTTCAGCGCGATCTATAGGCGCTATCATAAGCTCTTCATAAAATTCTTGCGTGAAAAGTAGAAGATCCCCAAGCAAACTTCATTTTGAAGTCAATGATTGAAGTGACGGCACTTATAAAGGTGGCTTGGTTTTGTTTTTTTTTTCAGGGAAAATTTGGAAGTTGTTCACGCTCAAATTTGATTAATTTTTTTTGGTTTTTTTTAAATGTTGAATCTATTTGCTAGTTGAAAAAGAAGTAACGATCTTCAACGAAAAAGAATTAAAAATAAGTTATTGATCCAGTTTCCTCAAATTTGGTAAATTTTATCACAAAAAGTGCCAATCAAAAATTGTTCTTGAAATTCAAAGAGCTTAAAGAGCTCTTTTGAAACTAACATAGTTTGGCACAACTATGTTAGTTTCAAAAGAGCTCTTTAAACTCTTAAAGCTCTGAATTTCAAGGAAACGTTTTGATTGGCACTTTTTGTGATAAAATTTACCAAATTTGAAGAAACTGGATCAATAACTTATTTTTTAATTCTCGCGCTACAAAATTAAATTCAAGCTACAAAAATATTAAAGCTTCAAAATTTTTTAAATTAAAGCTACAGAAATATTCTCGCGCAGAAATTTTTTTGCGCGATTTGATTTTGTTTTCTTTGAAGCTCACGTCATTTTAATTTGCCAAAATAAGACAAACTGGAACCTCCGAAGCAAAAGTGCAAAGAACGCGAAAAAATGATGACTTGAAGTTTCAAAAGTGCATTTAATTTGTGTTCTTAGTGGAAGAAAAAATACGTCTTGAGTCGTTTTTCTCATATTTAGAAAGTGTCAATCGTAAATAGTTCTCGAAATTCGATGAGGTGCGAGTTCCTTGTTTGTTTTAAGTCTTCAAAAATTAAGTATTTTTTGGACTTTCTTGAATTTGTTGACAATTTAGCAAGTGTGTTGGCTATGTTCCTCTATGCAAAACAAGTGTGCGAGCCAAGCGCGCCCAAATTTTTATTCAGTGTATAATCCAGTTTTTTGAATTTGTCAACGTCGTGAAGACGCCTATATATGTGATAAGTTTTTTTCAATCTCAAAAGTCTCACTTGATCTCGCCAAGTTTTATATTTTGCGTTTTGGCTTTATATTCCTTTGCTTAAGTTCAATTCAAATTCCTTTGCTAAAAAGAGGACAAACTGCGCTCTCAAATTACGATATGAAAGACAATATGGCGCAAAAAAAACGTGAACGACATGTTTCAAAAGTGAATTTTAATTTTTATATTGAAAACTGACCTATTTATCCAGTTTTTCTATTGATCCAGTTTTTCTATTGATCCAGTTTTTCTATTGATCCAGTTTTTCTATTGATCCAGTTTTGGGTTAACTTAATCAAAAGTGTCGATCACAAATTGTCCTTAAAATTCAAGTTTTTAAAATTCAAGTTGTCCTTAAAATTCAAAGAGCCTTAGAGCCCTATATATTTTTTGAAATTCGGATGTTCATTGAAATTTTTCCAACTGTCTGTCTGTTGGCTATTTTTTTTTCAGGAAAAGTCAATTTTTTATCCTGCTCAAATTTGAATTGCTGTGGCTCGACTTTGATTTTTATAAATATTCAATTCAAAGGAATGCTCTACAATTACCAAAGCTGAAATGGAGCAAAAACGCGAATTTATTTTAGTTTTGAAAGTAGGTTTCATTTTTCAGAATTATCAGCGGAATATAGAATATTCTTAAAATTTAAAGAACTCAAACTTGGAATATTGTTTCTCGGAAGCTGGAAAATATGCAAAGGTCGGTTCCTGTGACTTCATTGACATTTCCAACAGTCTGTTCGCTATATTGGTAGAGTTGAATTTGGGTTGACCTGTTGTGCTTTATGTGTGAATGAGAGAGTTGAAAATGCAGAAATTTAAGTAATTTTTTTTGCGTTTGAATGATTGTTTGTGTCTATTTCGTTACTTACAAAGCATTGAAATCCGGTCTTAAGTTATTTGAAGGATATTCTTCAAAGCGGAGTTGAATTTCAGTTCAAAACCTGATATTTTTATCAGCTTTGAGGTGATCGATCAATTTTCGCGAAGAATTAAATTAAATTATCTCTCAAAGATATGAACACTTTAAATTTGAGCATTTACATGGTTTGATGAAATTGTTTAGATGAGTTGGTGCTGATTCTTCTTGTGGTGGTGTTTGGCTTCTTCCTCTTCCTCGCTCTCTTCGTTCTCATCGCCCTCCTGATCATACGAGTGGCCAGAAGAGACCAATCCCAATCACTACTCACTGCACTCTGTCAGTCACGACTTTTCATTTCAGACAACTTTTACAATCTTTTCACTCATTTTTCAGATATATTGTACAATCTTTTCACTAACTTTTCAGATATATTTTACAATCTCTTCTCTATTTTTTCAAATATTTTGTACAATCTTCTCAGATATTCATTAAGTCAGAGGGGCCATTTTTTTGTTTGATCAGTTTTATATCAAAATATAAAACTTGTTGTAGCAGTTGTTAAATTGATGCTAGTTTGTTGTTAATGGGTAAAGACCTTGGATTGCTGTTGTCAACACATTTGATTTTCATATGCTTTTCACTTCAGGCTCTATTCCAGAAACGGTCAAAAAATCCAACCAAAGAACCAACGTAGCAGCAGAAGCCGAAGATGAAAGAGTACAGCCTACTACGCAGAAGGACTCTAGTACGTACTACCCTGTTGAAAATAAACTATCTGAGATAATTGGCCACTAATTTTGCTCGTTTTATTTTAGTTGTTCTTCCCGAAATCATCGTAGCCCAACATCCAGGGTACGTTCAGAAATTTAATCATCTAGCTCGAGATACATGTTACTTGATATTTAATACGTGAAATAATTAGCCTGTAACTATTTTAATTAATATCCATTTGTTACTAATTAATATTTTTGGCTTTGTTACCGCTTGGTAAATTGTCTTCCTATGATAGATTCACGTTCTATTGCCTTGTATAATTGTTGTATCGCTAGACGTGCGAAGCTCAGCTTCGCTTCTGTATTTCACTTTGTTTTGCCTGTTTAGGACTCTTTTGCATTTTCGTCGCTTGTTTTTGCGAAGCGCAGTTTCGCCTCTGTATAGTTTTACAATTCTGAATTCCAAAAAATTGAATAATTAATTTTAAAAGCAACTATTAGACATCATAAACCAAACAGAGAGCGCAAAATCAAAATAATTTTGTCCTTATGAAATTCAAGTTGTTGGTTTTGCTCCGTTTTTTACTATACTGTCCAGTGGAGCTCGAACCTTGCTTTCTACCATGATATGTAGTGAATTGCTCTTTAATTTAGGATTTCCTCTTCGTTTTCAGTCTTAAGATCAAACTTGAAATAATTGGCTTCCACTTCAGATCTTCCGTATTTGGCTTCTTTTTGGCTATGTGCGGACTAATAAAGTGTGTTTTGTACCCAATGGTGTTTCAGTCGCAACATGTACAGTAGACAACTTTCGGACACTATAGTGCAATTGAAGCTGTTTGAGTTGAAGCCGAGTGAGATGGTGTCCTCTGCTCAGGACACTTCGTCCAATGAGGACCTTCTAGAACTGCTCTCAGCCAGGTCTCCCGAGGAGCAGGTCAAGTGGAAGGTTCAAATGGTACACAAAATATACGCAGGTCTGTATAGGGTTGAATTACGTTAACGTCTATATTTAATGGCGTGCGGCCAATATGCAGACAACTTCCATTTCATACTCGTCAGTACGCAGACAAATTTGACCACTCTCGATTCAATTGGCTGAAAAGGATACACAATGTGGGTTTGAGTTTTTAAGGTAAAGTTTGTTTATTAGGTTTTTGCTTAATTCAATCCGAAATTATAAAATTGAGTGGTTTTTAAGATGATCTTTCAGAAAAACTAAGTCGCTTTAAAATGTCAGAAGCAGTTTTCAAAGTTGTCAAACTCAAAAAGTTGAAGTTTTTTCAAAACGCTCTGGGAATTGAAAATTGTAGAATGTTTGTGAGCGCTAGTGTTATACTACGACTATTTTTTTTCTAATCTAAGTAGCAAATATTGGTGCCACTTTTGGGGCACCTTTACGGCTTTTTGATAGATTGTGATTTAACGTTCAAATAGTAATAAGTTAACACAGTTGATGCATGTTAAATTCATCAATTAAACCGAAAAAGCTATTTATTTCTAACAAGATAACAATGATAAACTCGATTTCAAAAATTTTCTAATTCAATATATATATCACAAATTTTTGAAATGCATAATTTATGCTTTACAATTTATTACTTTCAAAAATAGTGAGGATAAGTTTAGTTTGTTAAATTCCAAACTAATATTTGCAAAATTGTGTCTGTTTATATTTGGTGCCATTTTTGCTGCATGGCATTGGCAGTTTGTTAGCATATGTAGATGCTTCATTTGTGACTAGTGTTTGCTGGTTGTTAAGCGTTCGTGGCCGAGAGGGTAGGGTGTTAGACTCCAATTCTAGGGGTCGCAGGTTCGAAGCCCATATTTAGCAAGTTTTGCTAATTCGGGGCCTGTTTTCCATCTTTTTATTTCACTTTAAGTTCCTTTTTTCTGGTGGTAAAAGATCATTTACTCATCAATTCACGTTTTTCTGACACATTGAGTGTCAAGAAATTGTAGAAGTCATAGAACAATCCAAGAGCATATATAGATAGCACTAGTTATTCAACATAAATAACGTCTTCATAAAACGGCTGAAGGAACTGATTGTGGATCCATTAGAGTTGATTTTTAATTTCAACTGCGAGAGCAAGTCACTTAAAATTGGAAACTAGACTTTTGTTTCCGTAAACAACTTTTCTTAAACTTTTACCGCTCAATATTTTTTGCTGCACAGATATGCTCAATTTCCTGAAACTTCAAAACTACTTCTTAGTTCACTTAAGGTTGTAATTAATTCTTTGAATTTACTTATTGAAAAAATATTAATGTTTTTGCTGACTTTTGGTTCTCGTCCTAATTTTGCCGACTGATTTTCAGATTTTTTTCCAAATGCAATCTGTAGTTTCTGGTGTGCTTTTTTTTCCGAATCTTAGTCTATTAATAATTCAAACAGTTTGCTTCTGTTTGATAGAAACATGTGTTTTGAAAATATATGGGATTTGGTTTCTTTTTCATTTTTTGCCTGGTCTATTTTTTACTGAACTCCAGTTTCTACTGCCTTCGGAAAAGTCAGTGGGGGAATTTTGACCCATTTTTTTCAGTTTTTCGAACACTACCTTCCCAAATATGAGATTTTAGACAGCTTTAGGCAGTAGGAAGCTCTACTGTTTAAGCTGGTTTCCACAAAAACTTATGGTCCTCGGAAAACATAAATTTTTGACCATTTTTCAAACTGTTCTAATTTTCTTGAAAACTAACCTTCTTAATCTTGAGATTTTGGGTTCAATGGAGAGAAATGTTTGCGAGATTTTGTAGCAGTCTGAAAAACAGGTTGAGTGATGCTCGCGGCTATGCCCAAATTTTTCTTCACAATTTTTATGGCCCTCCGAAAGGTCAAATATTCTCAAATTTTCTCAAAAACTACCCTCCTAAATCTGAGATTTTGGATTCAATCAAAAGACAGTTGAGAGAAGCTCCCCTGGATAAGCGGTTACGTCTAATTTTTCTTGCAATAAATTATGGCGCTCAGAAAAGTCAATATTTTGATTTCTTCTCCCTTTTTTGAAACTTTTTGACTATTTTCGAAAAAATGGTAGTCCAATCTGATAGTAGGTTTTAAATGAGGCATGAGGTTGTGGGAATTCTCCATGTACAAGCGGCTACGCTTTAAACATCAGAAATTTATTTGTTGGGAAAATTCCAATCTCTCAAAAAATTTCAAATAGGTACCTTTAGATGGGCTCCTAGTACTATAATTGAAAATTGTTCTGTAGGTTGTGATTTTAGCAACTCTGATTTTGAATAATTGTAATTTTTTTTCGTTAAACGGGTCCGATTTATGTTATATCGGTTTTGTCAACTTATGTTGCGTAGTTTCTCGGATTTCTTAAAATATTTTTGCCTGTTGCAGGAGGGGTGGGTCGTAAATTTTTTGATTTAAAATTTTGTAGCTTGAAATTTTTCTAGAAAAAGTTTAGTTTTCGGCCTAACGAGGGTCGACCCATTTTTTTTGCTTTATTTGCCGCTTGACCATTGATTCTCAACACTTGCTAAAACTGTTTCTGAGTCAGTTTCATCCAAAACAGAGGTATAAAACTGTTGTAGTGTAGTTTTTCGGCTGGTTTTTCAAGTAATTTTTTCAGCTCAATTTTTTTAAAAAAAATTACTTCTTTTTTCTCTATTCAACATCTTTTAATAATTTCGCAATTTAATGCGAAATAATCTGTTTAATTATTTCGCAATCGTTGTGAAGCTCCGCTTAGCCTCTGGTATTTTTTTCTGGTATTTTTCCCAAAATGCTTAAAAGTGCCAACAGCAGAATTAGTGCCAATTTATAAAGGTGTCTTTCTAGGTATTTTTGCAATATGCTTCAAAATAGCACAAATAGAGCCATTTATGACCAATTTCACTTCCTCCAATCATAAAAAAGATTTTTGAAATGTATATGTATGTATCGCGGATCTAGGCGTAGAAATTGTGGTCAATATAGAGTCTTTAGAGTGATTTGGGAGAGCTCTGAAGATCAATTTGGTAGACCTAAAAAAAGTCGAGAAAAATTTAAAATTTTTTGAAAATCCGCCCCCCCCCCTCGAGAAATTCCTAGATCCGCGCCTGTATATATCGTATGAAACTTTTTTCAAATTTATTTACCTCCTTTCCAATAATCAATTGGCGGGCGATCAAATGTAGACGCAATTGTGATCTTAATTGAAGAAATTAAGAGTCATACGTAACCAAACACCATTATGCAATGCATTTCCACTTGCAGTAAGCATTTAATAAATAGATCATTAAATACTTCTTCTTAAACTCCTGTGCTTTGGTTTAAGCAGACCATTTCATCAACTTCTTAAGTTCATTTCTGTGAACAAGGGTGTTGCAATCGGGTATTGACTTTTTCCCAGTATTGACTGTTTCCCAAAAATAATTCCAGGTATTGACTTTTTCCAAATAATTGTTTAATAGAATTTCCTGAAACTTCATGATATGCTCAGTTACAGAAAATTTGCATAGAGCTACCGTTATTTAGGTAGTATGGAGTTGAAGCTTGTTTTTTTTTTAATTTTTTTTGTCCTAGTTTCGGTCGGTTTTTTTTTCAGACTTTTCCTTAATGCCTTTTGTTTTAATCGGTACAGTTGTTTGTTCGTTTACTTTCCAAAGCATGGGTTTACTCTGATTTATACAGTTTCAATATAGTTGAAAGTTCCATTAATATTTAATTTACCAACTCTGTTTTTGAATAATGTTATTTTATTTTTTTTTCGTTGAACAGCTTTCACGTCAGAGCAAGTTAATGATTTCAATCATCAATTTCTTTCAAGTTAATCGTTGACACAGAAACGTGTAAAGTTTACAAAATCTTATCAGCGGGGTATGGTGTTGTTTCTTTTTTTTTGGTTTCTAGATCTCGAGCATTATCCAAACAATGGAAGAACAAAAACAGCCTATCTTTTTTCTTTTGTCCTAATGGCGTCCTTCTACTCTATATATTCGTAAACGAGTAAATAGAAGCCCTGAAATGAATATGGCAACCCTAAATTCGGAAAAAAATTTACGATTATTATTAAACAGTAGTTGGCAAATTTGTCTGCCTCGGTGTCTCTGATTACTAGGTTGTCTTGTCACCATGTAGTCTTCATTAAATATGTTGAAATGGTTATTTTTGTCGTGTTTCAGATGCGCAGACATGGTCTCTGGGACCGGAGACAAAACAGAAAGTGACTCGCTACTTACTCTCTCTAGATAAATCCTCACAAGTCCAACTTGGAAGAGCCTTTCTGGATATTTTCAAACTAGAAGCACAAGCACAGAATAGAAGGTAATGGCACTTAGTTGAAATCAAAGTCATTTGTTCAAAGTCATGTTTTTCTATACGTGATTTATGAGGAATGGCGATTATTTCGGTTATAGTTAGTGGTTAGTGCACTCAGTTATGTCAAAAAAGGTATTAAAGGTATTTGAAATAAGGCGATGTAAAGGTTGTATTTCTTTAATACTGCTACGTGTCTGTTATGACCGGTGAAAATTGTCCTACATATTTTATGCGATTTTGGCAGCCGTTCCTGAGTAACATAAATATGGAATATTTTGATGTCGATAAAAGATGCTTTTATGACTAGAATGAGCCTCGGATCATGAAAAAAATTGTGACATGTCTTTCTGAGCAATTCATGTAATATTGGTTTTAAGTTCCTGATATTGTTGTATTTTCTCTTAAAGGCTAAAAATGGACGAAGTGGTTAAGCTAGTGGTTAACGACAGTCAAACTACAGTGTATGACCTGGTGCTGACGACCTTCAACAATTGTATGGACATCAGAGTAGTGGACGCAATTTGTGACGAGTTGTTCTCCGCCAAGAAGAGAGCACAGCAAAATACTGCAGCAGTGAACTTAGACACAATTATAGAAGCAAATGCTTAATTTTTTGCTTTTGTAAATGTGTAAAATTATAGAATAGTTGGTTGACCTTATAATTACTGAGCGCAATCAGTGAATTTATGGTCGAAACAATTTTAAAGGCGATAGACAGTTTCTTGTGTTAGTACATGAAGCAAAACGCTTCGAAATTGGTCAATTGCTCTATGAAGTTAATGTGTCTGTGAAGTTTAGTAAACTCTATCATTGACGCCTAATTGTTCGAAAAAATAGCAGTGATCTCGCATTCTATGAAAAAGTGTTCCAGTAATCCAGTTTACAGCAAGATTTTGTAGATCACCAAAAATGCCGTAGTAATCTGGCATTAATTATGAATCTGAATTATTCGATTCTGTTGCCTAGAAAATTTTCATAAACCTAGATCAACCAGAACTCAGATTATAGTTCCTATAGATGGAGTTGAATGTGTTAACATTACCAACCAACTTCATTTGAAGTTTTTGAAATTGAGTGCAAATCATTTTTAAATTTTGCTTTTATCGGCTAGTCTTTACGATAGTATATAATACTTGGTTTATGTTTCTATCAGTAAGAGTTATCTCGCATCCAATTTTGATTATTTATCGAAATTTCTATTTAATTTTCTATCATGATATTTATGATTCTTTCGATCATTCTAAAAAGCGCAGGAAGCAGTGCTAATTTTGCAGTATTTAGTAATTTAAATTTAAATTTGTAGTGAAAAGCAAGGCTTGTTATGATTAAAATACTAGATTTTCAATGTTTAAGTTTGTATGAAATAGCAATTATGAATTTACTAATCAAATTTAAAATGTTTTCAGTTGGAAGTAAATGACTGAAAAGCTCCTTCGCTGATCCAATTAAAGAGCTTGCCCACCTAATTTGGTCGTTTTTTCAGGTATTTTTAAAAGTTTTTGTTCGCAGCTGGTCTTCATGCTTAACTTTTTCAGATTTGACTTTTGATTTATTTTTACACTTGCGAGAGCAAGTGTATTGTAATCTGGAACTATAACCTTTGCTGCTTGGAACTCTGGTTACTTTATTAGTGAATTTCGTAGACTTCGATGCTTCTTTTTAGCCTAGAGGTTAAGTGTTTGTCTCTACACCCTAACGTCAGTGTTTCGAGTCTCGGTCGTACCTTGTTTTTTTCAGTATGAATGAAATGAAAGTTTTTTCGCAAACAATTGAATTTTCAGACTTCCGTTTGTCTGTTTTTATTTCGTCGGCTCAGTTGCCACATTGTGTATTTTTTGTGCGGTCGGAAGTTTTATCATAGATGCAAGTGTTGTTAATATTTTTATGCAATTTTCATCATTGCGATAACTAAGGGTATTGCAATCGGGTACTAGACTTTTTTCCCTAATTAACTTTGCTTACAGATGGTGTTTTCAATTGAAGTAAAAATGTAGGCGTGAATTATAAATGCAGTAAAACTGAAGCTCAACTTCAGCTTCAGTTTTACTGCATTTATAATTCATGCTTACATTTTTATTTCAATTAGAAACCAGGACGTAGATTTGGAAGCAAAGCATAAACCGCTCGGTGATATGCTCTTAATGAATAAAAACAGATCTATAGAATAGAGTAGTAACTTAAAAATTACCAAATTGTTTTGTGTTAGTTGCGTACTAACTACTTAATCACTTAACATACTACGGAATTTTGTAAAAATGTGGAAAAAAAATCAATTTCGACCTTGTGTGGTGACCTTGTTTGATCGTGTAAATTTGAAATCGGTTTAAATTTTTTGATTTCCTTCTAGAGACAGGTTAACTGTTTTTGATAAGGTCTTTCAGCGTAACCAACCCCTAAAGAAAAAATGAAAAAAGAAAGAGACGCAAAAAAATGATCATCGCATTTGATGACAATCTGAAACAATAGTTTTGATTTCCTGATTACATTTTTTAAAAGGCTTTCAAAATTAGATTGGAACGAAATAATTGAGCCCAAAATTAAGCTAAACTAATTACATTCAGATTTTTGAAAGTGGTTAGCTTTTTTGTTAAGCCGTTTTGTTTTATGTTTTGCTTTTCGTTTATAATGAAACATTATCAACTCCGATTTCGAAGCATTCAACTTCAAGTGCTTGGGTCGAGAAAAGTCAATTAAGTCGTCTATTGATTTTTGTCAAAGAGCGAGTGATTCTTTCGCTGGAATAAATGAAGCTATTATCATACACATGCCTGCCATAGTGAACCAAAGTGAACTCAGGAGAAAAGCATTTCCAAAAAATATTTTATCAAATTTCAAGCAATAATATAAAATCTAATTCTTTCTTCTTCCTTCGTATCGCATCACGCACCAAAAAGAGCACAAAATTTTAAAAAATTTATTTATATTTTTTGTTGTTCAGTTTTTGACGAGTTGGTACTTTGCTTGGTACTTGCAGATTAAACTCGAAGTTATGGCCTTAGAAGCTTAAAGTGTTACTCTTTTAAAAAACTTCATGCCAGGTAGAGCAAATTTCTCTAATATATCCAAAGCTCATGTACAACATTGTAGAATCAATTTCTTTTCAAGTGCAAAAAGGGCCAAATTTTTTTTAAAAAAATTCGAAAATGCAGATGTATTTGATATGTGTCCTTTTTGTTATAGTTCTATAAGGGATCATTTTTTGTGGCGAGGCTTCCTATTTGTTCTTATGTCTTGTTATTTAGGCTATCCTGACTCATAGATGTGATACCTTGGTGCTGCAATCTAAACGCTCGTTATTGACGCGCGGCGAAATATGCCGCACCACAAAATCGTTCCAAATCAATCCAAATGAAGCAAGCTAATTGGTTTTATTAATTCCACACAAGATTCTTACAATTAAGCTTAAAAATCATGTATACCCATAACACCAGTTTATGGACAATCGTAACATTCAGGTAATTGCCCTGGTACGAGCAGTCATGTCTTGTCTGTATTGATTGACATTTGGACTTTTAATTTGGAATTTTCAAAATTAGGACATTTCAAAATTAGATTGGAACGAAATAATTAAAGCCCAAAATTGTGCTAAACTACTTACACTCAGATTTTTTGAAAGTGATTAGCTTTTTTGTTAAGCCGGTCTGTTTTATGTTTTGCTTTTGTTTTTAATGAAACATTATCAACTCGGATTTCGAAGCAATCAACTTCAAGTGCTTGGGTCGAGAAAATATCAACTAAGTCGTCTGTTGATTTTTTGTTAAAGTGCGAGTGTTTCTTTCGCTGGAATACATGAAACTATTATCATACAATTGCCTGCCATAGTGAACCAAAGTGAAGTCAGGAGAAAAGAATTTTCAAAAAATACTTTATCAAATTTTAAGCAATAATATAAAGTCTATTTATTTCTTCTTCCTTCGTATCACATTACGCACCAAAAAGAGCACATTTAAAAAAATTTAATTATATTTTTTGTTGTTCGGTTTTTTGACGGGTTCAGATCAAAATCAAAATTTTGGCCTTAGAAGCCTAAATTGTTACTCTTTTAAAAAACTTCATGCGAGATAGAGCAAAAGTCCCTAATATATCCAAAGCTCATGTACAACATTGTAGAATCAATTTCTTTTCAAGTGATGTTAATTGATGTAATTTTCTAGTTTTGCTTTGATTTCAACATACAATTTTTCGTAAAGAACTTCGAATATGCAGGTGTATTTGTTATTGTTCCGACTTTCGATACGAAAGTAACGGAATATTTGTGCTCGGGGTGGTTTTTTTTTCTTCAGACAAATTTCGACTTTTTAACTAGCCATTTTTGACCGAATTTTTTTATATCATTCAAAAGGTATTGTTGTCTTGAGCTTAAATTTGAAAAGTTTTTCCACCTGTGATCATTTTTCGTAAAGTTATGAGGGTTTAAAGATTGCCATTTTGATCAATTTGGGACAATTAACGCGTGATATAATTCGCGCTATTAACGCGTAACCGGAGATTTAATCCGTCTTATAAATCGTTCCAAATTGGTTGAACGAAGCTTATTTGCCATAATTGATTTGTTACAAGGAACGAAATCTCTCTTTTTGTACTTTATATGGCGTGTGGGGGGGATGATTTTCATAAAAAAGATTTCCATTTTTTTTGTTTCATTTAATTTTTTTATGTTATTACTGCTGCTCCTTAAACCTTAAAAGGCAGTCGGAACATTCAAGGCTTCGCCCTGATACGAGCAGTCTTGTGTGTCCTTGTTGTTATGGTTCTATAGTGGATCATTTTTTGCGGCGAGGCTTCCTATTTGTTCTTATGTCTTGTTCTTTAGGCTATCCTGACTCATAGATGTGATACTTTGATGCTGCAATCTAAACGCTCATTACTTACGCGCGGCGAATTATGCCGCATCACAAAATCGTTCCGAATCAATCCAATTGAAGCAAGCTAATTGGTTTTATTAATTCCACACAAGATTCTTAAAATTAAGCTTAAAAATCATGTATACCCATAACACCTTTTTATGGACAATCTGAACATTCAGGTATTTGCCCTGGTACGAGCAGTCGTGTCCTGTCTATATTGCATGACATTTGGACTTTTAATTCACACCAGAAAAATAATTACAGCAGTTGCGGATTTAAGAAGCGCTCAATCTAACTCAGCTTACAACGGAAGCGGATCCAGGATTGTTTTGGGAGGGGGCAGATTTTCAAAAAAGTTTCGAAAATCAATATAAATCATCGCTCGGTAAATCAATATAAGCTATCTAAACGAATTTTAAAAATTGACCAAAATTTCGAATTTTTTAACCCCTCCCCTCTTCTGATGGCAGCAGTTGTAACATTCTGTGCTGCTTTTGAGATTTTTTCAGAAATTGCAGTATTTTTGACGTCTCTAGAAACTCTGAAATGCTATGGTAAAACATGAGCTTCAGCATAGAGTTCATTTTAGTTTATCTAACCTCTGCGTCCGCAATCTGACTGAAGAACAAGACCTAATTGAGATCCGCAGATCGCTGCTCATCGGTAATTTCTTTTTGACGAACTAATAATTTTCTCCTAAACCACGCAGGTTTTTTCTCTGATTGCGTCAGGTAAGTAAATATCAAAGGTGTGTGACGCAGCTGAACACTCTATTGTACATTATGTTGTAGATTGGTACCGCTTTCGCCCTAATGAAAACTCTCTCGTTTCGTCTGATCACATTTTGGAGTAATTAAGGTTCATCTACGGGCTTATTCCGTTTAAATGCATTCGACTACGTTGAATAGGTATTAATTAATCAGGAAATTAACGAGTACTTGAAATGCTCCACTGACTTTGGCCGAACTTTTCAGTTTTAAGTACTTTTTAAGTGATCTCTGACGTCAGCTGGAAAACTTAATCACCGTTAAGTGGAAGTGTATATCTCGCGTGCCATTTCTTACCCAAACAAGTCACTTTTTGTCTTCTTAGCCCACTGAACAGTCCACAGAAAATTCAAACCATCGTTTCGAAAAAAAATTCGAAAATCACAAAAAATCACAACCAAAACTTCGTTCTTCTTTGTGAATCAAACTGCCCTAAATACAATTTGAAACCAAAAAATGTCCGAAGAATTGGTGGTACTTATTCTAATTCTCGGAATAGCGTTGCTCTTGTCGGCATTCAAAGTAGCTTTCCATTTGATGTACACAGTTAAAGAAGCGGAAGTGGAGTCTTCGAAATATCTGCCGAGCTTCAAAGCTCCTCACCAGCCTCTTTCGCCGATTAGCGAAGAGACAAGTCAGAGTCAAAATTCTTCGTCCGAAGTCGCGCTTGGAATCGGACTGGGACCACCCCTCTCTCTCGTGTCACGAAAAGCGACTCTGTGTCTTCCCATCGAGG